TGCGATGTACAGAAAAGATTTAATATAAAATAAAATAAAAATTTAAATTTAAAGCAAATTAATTTAAATAATTTTATTTCTAATATAGATTATAATTTGGTTTTGCTTAATTTTAATTAATTTAATTTATTAAAACTAAAAATTTATCGTTTCTTAAATGTTTTAGAATCTAGTAATTAGAATTAAATAAAATTATTTTTATTAGATGTGCCTCACTAAGAGCTTTTATTTAAAATAAATTTATTCAGATTGGACTGCTGGTTGTCAAGATAATTACAAAAACTACTTTTTGTATATTTTGATCCCAAAGTAGGTTACATTGAACCCAAAGAAGGTCCAATTATAGTTTTTTTAAGTTTATGCAAGACGTTATTAAGTAAAGATATCTTCAAGCTCTAAGTAAAGTTGTAGAGGAGATAATTCTGAGTCAAATGGTAGTTAAATCATCAAAATCGGGCCAGTAGTTATTGGGATATGTAGGATTAAAAATCTAAACATAAGGATTAACAAAATCAATACTTTGTATAACAGTGACTTTGCCGATCCTTATGTTCGTGCGATATCTCAAGAACCATTAGGCCGATTTTGATGATCTAACCACCATTTGACTCAGAATTATCTCCTCTACAACTTTTATATGGGCAGATTTGACGCAAGTAAATTGCATGTGATAATTCAATAATTATATATGAAATCAAAGATTTTATTGGACATTGCTCTGATTTATTTCCTTATTTAGTAATTTTCAATCAGATTTCAATCACAACAAACATCACATCAATTACGTGTAATAAATTGATTGGTCAGTTATACAAATTTGTGATTTGTTTATATCAAAATATACATGTAGATCATTTCTCGAATTATCACATCAATGAGTCAAATCCGCCCATATGTATTTAAGCCTTGAAGATATCTTTACTTAATAACTTCTTGTATAAATTTAAAGAATTTATTGACAAATCAAAATAACAGATTTAATGTTATACAATTTAATAGAATTATTTATATTAGTGGTCTAAACGTTATCGTTACATACAAATATTTTTAGTATATAGTTATAGATTATAGATTTATATATATAATATATATATATAGTATAAATTAAATTTAAAATTTATATTTGGTCCTTCAGACTTTGAATGATTATCATTTACTTAGTAGTTACTGGCAATTAATTTACAGATAAGGTTTATTTTACTGATACTTTTTTTGTAAATATTAAAATGTAATAAATTTTATAATCCGAATATATATATTAAAATATTGATAATTTATACAGTAGTTCCAAGAGAATTTAAAATAAATAAAATTAAATTATTAATAAAAGCTTTAATATTTAATTTTAATACTTTATAAAAATAATAATTAATCAGAAATTATAAACTATAAATCTGGTAAAAAGCATTAAATCTATTATTTTTATAGTTTAAAATTTTAATTATACATTAAATAAAAAAACTAGCTGTTGTTTGATGTTATATAAATTTTTTAATAACAATATATAATATAAATTATATATATTACAATAATTTTAAAATTTTAAAATTAAATTTTTTATATATGAACTAGAAAGAAAAAAAAGTAAAAAAAATAAAAGATCTAATAGACATAGTTTAAATATCTTTTCTTATTTCTACTTATTTTTTCTCATTTCTAATTATTTTCTTATTCAACTTATTTTAGTAAAAAACCTATCTAGTTATTATAATTGCAAGTAGATTTAAGAGTGATAATTATTTATAATTGGTTTAAAATTACAATTATTATAAAATGCACCTATGGTGTTTAACACCATATATAATTGTTTTAATAAAATTTGGGGTTGGGTGCATTTTTATAAAAATTTTTTTTTATATATATTATAATATATATTAAATATAAGGTTCCAAATTTAGTTTTTATAAGGTTTTTTGAGGTCCTGAACATTTTTATTTAGAGTACCTGATCCTGTTTACTTAGTACATTTTTGAGAAATAAGGACCTACATCAGCAAGTACATTTTTTTATAAAACTTATATAGTTCTATAAAATTATATAAATGTTATATAAAATTTTTATATAGATTTACAAACCCAATGTAAACTTATATGGTCAAAATTTTTAGATATAATTTGATATAATATTTATGTATAGTTAATTTATTATTTATATAAATATAAAATTTATATAAACTTTATCTATATCTACATAAAATAATGTAATTTACTTTAACTATTTCTCAAAAGTGGCTAAGGTAATCAGTGTTCGATATACTAAGTAAAAATATTCTGCATGCCCTAAACCCTTCTCCAAACCTTTAATTTAAATTTTAAAACCAAATCCTAGCTTTAATATTCAAGTTAAAATTTTTTGCAATTTTACATAAACCTATATAGAAGTCTATATAGATTTATATAACTAGCTATGCAAAATCTACATTGGGTTTATAAAGTTTTATAAGTTTAAATAAAAATTTTACATAACTTTATATAAACGTTTTATATAAATCTATGTAAAAATGTACTTTAGTAAACTTGTAAAATTATCTAACCCTGTTATTGATTTTAATATAGGACAAATTTTCAATAATCACAAAATTTACATAGAACAAACTTATTCAATTGGTACAAAAGTTTGAAGATCTTGAAAATATTGCAAATTATCGCCAATAGAGTCATATTGGCCCATATGCTAAAAATAGTTACATAATATATTAGATAAAAAAAGATGTCAGAGTAGTTTTAAGCCACCTAGAAAATTGCCTAAATCGAGTGATTCCTATTTTTTTGATCTGCAAATCTCTCAAATTATGCAAACTTCAATAATGACTTCCAATAATTAACAACTAATAAGAATGGAAGAAAGAGATGACATCTTCAATTCAAGTTCATCTTTAAATCACGACAGTACTCTTAGGATAGGCGTAGAAAATTTCAAATCTATCTATATTAATCAAGCAAAAAAGATTATAAAAGATTTTAGCGAATTAGATAATTTAAATGGATTTAAACAGTTAGTTGAAAACTTTGAAATAGAATTATCAGAAGAAATATTGATTAAAGCATTTAAACTACTTAGTGATGCTTCATCATTTGAATATCACTCAGAAAGCATTATGATACGTCTTGAAGTACATCTTTGAACTTGGATGGCAACCTTAGAAAGAGTATACTATTCTCCTGTCGTTCTAAGCTATGAAATTAGCGAGCAACTTTATAAACATTTAAGCAATTTTGTTGATTTTCATTATAGAATGACAAATGCTTTTAAGCAAGGTGTTGGCAACAGTTTTAAGTTAAAGGGCAAATCTAAGGAAATTCCAAATAACAATAATAATATTTATATGTATTTTCAAAATTATAATATTAATTTTTTATTAATTCATTTATATGATACTTTACATAGTATGCGTGATGATGAAACACGTATAGATGAAATTTTACGACATATTAAAGATTTTCTTTTAGCGTTTATTCATATTTCATCTAAAGCTGCTGAAGCAGTATCAGGGAATATTTCGGGAGCACTAGACATTGCTCAAGCTTTTAAATTCAAATATCCTATTACTTATTGGTATCCAATATGGCGAGAGCTTTTATCAATTCAATATTTATTAGGGAATTTAGCTAAGGATGATAATTATAATAAATTACGATTCTATAATGAAACTTACCTTCTTGAATTACTGTGGCAATGTATCTTTGATTTAAGTATTAATCAAAAAGCACAAAATGAGATTTTAAATAGTCAAAATGAGTTCTTGAATTTATGAATTTATGGACAAAAAAAGAACCAACCACACCACCTAATTCACTATGGTTTGGAATTTTAGATCTTGCTCAACATTTAAGCCAAAAAACAACCCAAGTCGTTAGTTTAGCTCTTTGCTATTATTTAGCTTTAGAATCATTACAAAATTCTAAATGCAATTATATTTGCTTTAAATCTTTAGAATTACTTTTATCATTATCTTATCAAAAACCAGAATTGTTTAACGAAATAGTTAAAGATGATATCAACAAATACAAGGAATCATTATCAACAACTTCCCAACAAATATTCGAAAAAATTATTCATGATGTAAATCAAAAACTTCAATTAAATCTTAAATTTATGAATCAATTAAATGTGACAGGTATTAAAGAAATTCAGAAATCAAAAGTGATAGAAAATTAATATTAAACATAATTGCAGAAGAACTTACTTGTCCAATTACTAAGCAAATAACTGGAGATTTTTTAATTTTAACATGTAGACATTCTATTAGTTGTTATGCTATTAATAAATGGAAAGAAGTAATAACAATTGAAAATAGATTATTTAAGTGTCCTTTTTGCAAAAATGAAATTGAATTAAATTCAACTTATAACTTTCCAAAAAATAAAATATTAGAAAGTCTTTATGTGAAATTGGAGAAAGCAGATTATTTCAATAAGAACGACAAATATCGCAAAATAAAATTTATATGGCAGAAGATGATCTATTTTTAAAATTTAATAAAAATAAAATATTTCAAAATTTTATGCTTTCAAAGCTTTCTGCTCCAATTTTTCAAAAAATTCAACCAAAGGTTATGCTACTAGCATTTAATAGGGCAGCCAAAGCGGAACTACAAGAAGACTATGCAACTGTTATAATGTAGTTAACTCAAGTCTTAAAATTACACCCAAAAAGCTATTCAATTCGATGTAGAAGAGCGTTTGCATCTTATAAACTTAAAATGTATTCAAAGGCTAAAGATGATTTAGATGTAGCAATCCAATTAAGGCCATTAAAATCATTGGCCTATATTTATAGAAGCCTGATATTTCGTGATATGGACAAATATGAAGAATCACTTGTAGATTTAAATAAATCATTAGAGATTGAACCAAATAATGCATTTGCATTAGAAAACCGTGGAGAAAATTATCGCGTGCTAAAAAGATATATAGAATTACTTACAGATTTAAATAAATTATTAACGATTGAACCTAAAAATGCAAGGGCATTAAGAAGTCGTGGGGAAATTTATCGTATATTAAAAAGTTATAAAGGATCGCTTGTAGATTTAAATAAATCGTTAGAGATTGAACCAAATAATGCATTTGCATTAAGATATCATGGAAAAATTTATCATATACTAAAAAAATATGGAAAATCACTTGCAGATTTAAGTAAATCATTAGAGATTAAACCAAATAATGCATTTGTATTAAGTAATCATGGAACAACTTGTCATCTATTAAAAGAATATGAAAAATCACTTGCAGATTTAAATAAATCATTAGATATTAAGCCAAATTGTTCGTGGACACTTAGAAGTCGTGGAGAAACTTATTGAATGATAAGTAGATATGAAGAATCGCTTACAAATTTAAATAAATCATTAGAGTTTGAACCAAATCATGCATTCACATTAAGAAGTCGTGGTGCAACCTATCTTATATTAGAAAGATATGAAGAATCACTTGCAGATTTGAATAAATCGTTAGAAATTGAACCAAATGATGTGTGGACACTTAGAAGTCGTGGGAAAACTTGTCAAATGATGAAGAGATACGAAGAATTACTTGTGAATTTAAATAAATCGCTAGAAATTGAACCAAACAATGCAGAATCATTAAGTAATCGTAGTGAAATTTATTGTAAATTAAAAAGATATGAAGCATCACTTGCAGATCTAAATAAATCTTTAGAAATTGAACCAAATGATGCATAGACACTGAGTAGTTGTGGAGAAACTTATTATATATTAGATAAATATAAAGAATCACTTGCAGATTTAAATAAATCTTTAGAAATTGAACCAAATGATGCATGGACACTGAGAAGTCGTGGAAAAACTTATCGAATGACAAGTAGATATGAAGAATCGCTTGCAGATTTAAATAAATCATTAGAGATTGAACCAAATAATGCATTCACATTAAGAAGTCGTGGTGCAACCTATTGTATGTTAGAAAGATATGAAGAATCACTTGCAGATTTGAATAAATTATTGGAGATTGTACCAAATAATGCATTTGCACTAAGTAATCGTGAAGCAACTTATCGTATGTTAGAAAAATATAAAGAACTTGCAGATTTGAATAAATTGTTAGATATTGAACCAAATAATGTATTTGCATTAAGTAATCGTGGAGAAATTTACTATATGCTAGAAAGGTATGAAGAATCACTTGCAAATTTGAATAAATCATTAGAAATCAGACAAAACTATGTATTGACACTAAGACGTCGTGGAGAAACTTATCGAATGATGAATAAATATGAAGAATCACTTGCAGATTTAAATAAATTGCTAGAGATTGAGCCAAATAATACAGAAGCATTAAAAAGCCGTGGTGCAACTTATCGTATGTTAGGCAGATATGAAGAATCACTTGCTGACTTGGATAAATCGTTAGATATTAAACCAAATAATGCTTTTGCATTAGAAAATTGTGGAGCAACATATTGTATATTAGGCAGATATGAAAAGTCACTTGCAGATTTGAATAAATCATTAGAAATTAAACCGAATAATGCATGGGCATTAATAAACCGTGGAGAAACTTATTATGTTTTAGGCAGATATAAAAAATCACTTGCAGACTTAAATAAATCATTAAAAATTGAACCAAATAATGCATTTGCATTAAGAAGCCGTAGAGCAACTTATCGCAAATTAGAAAGATATGAAGAATCACTTGCAGATTTAAATAAATCATTAGAGATTGAACCAAATAATGCATTTGCATTATACGAATCATGTCAACTTATTGTTCATTTATATGTTTAAAAAAAATACTAAGAATTAAACAGAATAATGTTTGCATTATATGATAATAATGCAATTATAGACGCAATGCTCTTTGAGACTTATGCCGTTCTCAAATGTCCCCATATTTAGGTTTATCCAAAATTAGCAAAACTGTTATTGGATTAACGTTAATTCAAAATGGCTCTATGTAAAATCCTGAAAATAATTATCGCGTGCGTGATGCCGGGTTCCAGTATTCAAACCTGCTTATTATTAGTAATCATTATTACTAATCATAAGCTGGGTCTGAATACTGGAACCCGACATCACGCAACACGACAATTAATTTCAGGATTTTGACATAGAACCATTTCAATTATCTCACTTTATAAATATTTATTTTTCATTTATATACACTCACATAATAAAATTAAATAAAAAGAATTCAAATATCTTGATATCTAAATGCCTTATCTATTTTAATTTGTGAAATAAAATGAAGTTAATTAAGTCATACAAGAATTACAAATTTGGCTAATTAAAATCTTCGTTAATTAATTTAAATAAGTAAAATTAACATAAATAAATAAACATTCGATAATTAGTAAGATTATATTTTTGTGTGGACTCTAGATTTTGAATTAAATAATAATCTATCAGTTTCGATCAGCTCACTGGCAAACATTATAGTTACCGGCAATTAATTCACAGACAAGGTTTATTTTACAGATGACTAATTCACAGACAAGTTCATTTCATAGCCAATATATTTCAAACGATAATGATCAGAATTGCTTTATGAAATGAGCTGTCATAAACTTGTCTTTGAATTAATATCGGTATAATAATTTTGCTTGTAAACTAATTGTCTGAATTAAGTTGTCTATGAAGCCTTATAAAAAAATTAAAAATCATATTCAGATTTTGTCAGACTATTCGTAATAAGAACCTATATAAAACCCTTTAAAGTTCTCGAATATTTCAGATTTCCTGGTTATAATTTTTTTTTTGGCATAAAATTATAATCAGGAAATTGAAATATTCAGGAAATTTAAAAATATTCAGGATTTAAAAGGGTTTTATATAGGTTCTTACACGAAAAATGCCATTTAAAAATAATAATCTGAACAAAATTTTAATATGATTTTTAATTTTTTTTTTATAGGGAAGTGATTATTGGTGAAATAATACAGGCCTATAATGAATAATGAACAATAAGTATACATAATTACATCATAATACATGAAAAAAATAACAAAAAGAAATTTTTTCATGATCATATGAGGATAATATCAGTGAATAATTAAATATCTATTAGATATTTGGGCCACTTCCGCAACCCAGACAATCTTACAGATACTTGAATTATCCATTGATTTATATTACCATACTAATCTTTTTTAATCTACTGTAAAATAATTTATATCAACCAGTTTCGTCTATTATCAATTAAAACCTCAAGTGACGAAATGATAAAACTGATAAAAGGTGATAACTAAACTGACAAAAGGTGTGAAACTGACAAAATTTGCGAAACTGACAAAAGCTAGCAAAATTAATGCATTCAAAATATGTACTAGGTTTATACAATAATAAAACCGCAACAAGCAGAGCTATAAAATTTATCTCATGAGTCAAATTGTTTTATTTGTGTAAGATTCAAAAATTAAAAATCAACTATTCTTTCAGCCTTATTGTATAATACAAATCACATGTTTGCTTAGATTTGGCCACATTTTATAGTCACGAAAATTAAATAGAAATTGAATATCAACAAATCCTTTCTAAAGACAATCAAAGATTATAAATTAATCAGAAAAAATAAACTATAAATCTGATAGAAAAACATTAAATCTATTATTTTTATAGTTTAAAATTTTAATTTATCAATAAAAAACTAGTAGTTGTTTTAACATTATATAAATTTGCTTAATAACAATAGGTAATATAAACTATATATGATATATATTACAACATGACGATAATGCAATGTTTGAGTTATTAAATTAGTACAACAAAAACAATCAATAAAGTTTTTATTCAATTAACCAACTTGGATTTAAGCAATTATAAATA